TGGTGCTTTATTGGAGAGAAGAGTCTGAGGGTCTTTCCTGCCCAAGCTGGCTTTGAACCATGATCCTAAAATCTCAGCTCCTGAGTACTTAGGATGACAACCATGAGCCACTGGCACCCGGCCAAAGATGCTTTTCTATGCCTGTCATCCTATCCCCTCAGGAGACTGAGATCTGAGGACTGCAGTTGGATGCACCCTTGGCAGCAAAGTCATTGAGAACACTTATCTCCAATTAAACACCCAAAAACCTTGCAAGTGGAGCTGTGGCTCAAATGGTAAAGTGCTAGCTTTGAGCATGAAACAAGGGATGGGACACAGGCCCTATTTTTAAGCTTTTTCTAGCATAGACCCACCCAAGAAAAGAAAGCAGGTGAGCACATGGGAGCTCAAAGCTCACACATAATACTCAAGACTCACAGAATAGACCCCATCCTGCTCTGACTCTCTAGATTCTATGTCCTAGATCATGGCAGTCTTAGATGAGACTGACCATGCACCAAGTCAGGACATTCAAGCACAATCTTATACTGAGGATCCCGTGACCTCATCAAGGACTCAAGATCTCTCACTGTTCTGCCTTGACACTGGGCAGTCAGGTGAGGTCTAGTTATACAACTACAGGATATGGGAATGAAAGGATTTCTCAGCCAAGGGATGCAGACTGGAGGGCTCTAGGTCCCTCTCTCTCAGGGAGGAGAAAAGGGCCCATCCATCCCAGGAATGTTCCTGGGTTGTGAGTATCCTCAAAGAAGCAACCCTGCTCTGAGCCCACTGCCTCTGGTTTTCCCACTAGCCTTGACCTTTAGTCAGCCCTCTCTGAATCCCAATCTGCCATCTAGATTAATGGCTGAGCAAGCAAAGAGACCCACCTCTACCTCTGAGGATGGCAGTCATGGGGCTCTAGAGTCCCCTAAAGGAAGTCTGAGGGCAACACGGGTCTGACTCTCGCCCTCATTCCCTGGGTGTCCTGTTCCAGTGGCCCGCTTACCTCTGTCTCTGGTCGAGGAATGAACACTGGGGGTGTCATCTTCAGATTGAGCCAGAAAAAGTGCCAGTCCCCAAGGATGTACTGCACAGGCATCCTGCAGCGGATGACAGCCAAATCGTCAACGGTGAACCTAGAGTGCCAGGACTTTTCATAGGCATGTGGCTGGGTCGAAGGCTCTATCACTGATGGTCTAGGTTGTCAGGTGAGGTCATGGCTTCAATGGCCTGACTCACTTGATCTGGGATTGTCCTCCCTCTTCATCTTCCTGCTGATCCCTTGCCACCCCCCTCTTGACACTCCCTCACCCTATACCTCCCTAGCCCTTGGACAGTTTCTTCTTATCTGACCAGAAAATAAACTTCATGAGCCAGGGGTGATTGAAACTCTGTGACCCACCCTGAGCCCTAGGGTCTACCAGAGGCTGTTTCCATCTGCAGTCAGTGACCACTCAGATATTGGATGTCATGAAGTTGCTGATGTCATGAACGGGTCAGTGGCTTGGTCCTACATTCTAGCTTTAGGCTCTGAAACTGTCCCCACAGAGATTGTGAATGGTTGGCTCCCTTGATCCAGGGACTCCAAACCAAGGCTTGCATGCTCCCTTCTTCCTTCCTTTCTTCCTTTTCTCCCTCCATCCTTCCCTCCTCTCTTGCTTTTTCCTTTTTTTGTGTCACTCCTGGGCTTGAACTCAGAGCCTGGGTGCTGTCCCTGAGCCTTTGTACTCAAGGCCAACAGTCTACAGCTTGAGCCTACTTCTGGCATTTTCTTTTTGGTAGTTAGTTGGAGATGAGAGTCTTACAGGCTTTTCTGCCTGGGCCTTAAGCTTCAATCCTCCTATTTCAGCCTCCTAAGTAGCTAGGATGACAGGTGTGAGGCACCAGCATCCAGCTCAAACCAAGATTTTGTTCTGTGCTGTGGAACCAGAACTGGAACCTTTCATCGTGTATGACCTCCTCCCCTTTCCCCTTCCCCAAGGACCTGGCATACACTGTAATGGTTTGTTGGTGAATGAGCATCTGTCTATGACAATACTACAGAAAAGTCCCATCCAATTCAGGTAAGCATCCTGGGTGGGGGTAAAGCCTGATGTAGCTCTCCCACAGTTCTCCCTCCTACCTCTTCCCACCCTCCTGGTGCCACCGCACTTAACTGTTTTGGTTCTAAGGATGTGAGCCATGATGTACTCACTGGATTCCATGGCCTCTGGGATGCCTATCTTCTCAAGGATCTCTGTCCAGTGGCTGACCAGCTGTGTGGCACTCAATTCCCCACTCAGCTGTGAACAAGGTTGCCCTGAGGTGAAAGCCTGGCTCAAGGGGCCTCCTCGCCACTCCCTGGGGCCAGAGAGGATGGTCCACCATATCCGGCCCCCAAGTTTCATGTTCCAGAGATAGGATCCCTGAGGCATCCCAGGTCTCTGAATTTCCCAGAGTCCAATACAGGTCCTGGGAATTGTCTCTACTCACAGCTAGTAGGCTGCAGATGGCGAAGTCACAATCTCTGCTCCCCACAACATCCTCAACTGTGGTGATCACCCTAGAGAGAGCTGGAGAAGAATCGGCAGCTGCCGGAGAAAGGCAGTCAAGGCACGACGTTCACAGCAGGAGACCATCTGGCTAGGGAACTCTGCTTGTGCTGCTTTGAACGTCATTGTTTGGTGGCTGAAATGGTCCATCTAATTTGACCCAGAATCCCAAGCATTAGTTAGAAATTGCCAGCTTCAAGGAAAAACCCTATAAAAGCTGGCATTTCACATGTCCCAATCAAACTTAAAGGGTTCCAAAGTTAGTAGTCCCCTTTTCCTTCCACACAGCCTACAGCGGGTTACAGAAAATGGCATTCAGAGAGCGCTAGCTAACTGCCATGTCCTGATCCCAAGTAGTCTCCAGCAGAGGAAACATACTTGCCTACCATTGCCCAGCTGGAAACAGCCCAGGAGGGACACAGATTGGAGTCTGCAGGACTCCAGGGAGGACTACCCACCAGTGCACTGCCCCTGGACGGAATCCATGCCACCATTGGGGGCCTGGAGCCCCATGCCAAGATGCCCACGTACACCGTCAATACCCTGGGTAAGATTCCCCTCTCATCCTCGGTCGTGGTGAACCATCTGCTATGTCACACCGATCGTCACTTCCCAGACCCTCCTAGATTCACAGCCCCTGCCCTACTACCCCCCATCTCGTTCCCTATTTATGTTTGGAAGACACCTTCACAACCTTGAATTAGCTCCAACTATACACACCAGAGCAGACTGGCTGGCTGGAAGAGTGCGGCTGTGATCACAGTAGCCTCATGAGCCTTCTGGCTAAAGACAGAAGAGCAGGTGTCCACACTGGTCTCTGGTTCACACAGGCCTCCTAGGGGAGACCCACGCAGGTCCAGCAGCTACTGTGGGCTGCAGGAAAGGGGAAGAAAGAGGTGGAAAGGAACATCTACTGAAACCTTCCCTAAAGGAGCCATGAAATGGTGAAAGAGAAAACAAAAAGTGTGGCTGGTCTCCTAGTGGGCATTAATGAAAAAAGAACAACAAATAAAATGTTTTTGCTCTTTTTAGACATGGTGACTTAAATATATTTTCATTGTTCTCATCCTCCCTGCTCTCCCAACACACACACACACACACACAAATACAGACTCAGAGCAGTGCCTCTCCAGAGTTTGTTTCTCATCTGGGCAATGTACCAGCTTGAGCACAGGGGTTCCCTTGTCAGAACCAGGGGCAACCAGCCAAGGGGAACAATGCTCTAATAATGCAGAACCACCCTGCCTCCCCGTTTCTCCAGGGCTAGACCCTTCCCCTTGGGAACAACCAGCTTTGACTCCTCATTCACCAAACCCTAGGTCAGGACGCTGGGTGAAGGAGTCCCGAGACACGTGGCTCCTCAGAGCCTGATCAGAAAACAAAGCAGGGGGTCATGGTGCCTCCAGAAAGGTGTATGACCTGGGGTGGGGGCGTTGTTGGGGACTTTGATGGGGTCCTAAAGGCTATATACATGGATAGACTCCCTACTTTCACCCTATGTACTTCGGAGCGACTTGGCAGATCTTGGGGAGGACGAGAAGACCAGATGGACTGGGAGCACTAGCAGAAGCTGGCAGAGCTGGGAAATGTGATCACCCAGTCAGAACTGTTGACAGCTGGGGTTGGGGGTATAGGCCGGTTGTATATGTGTCAGAGGGGGTGTGTTTTTCTCCCAAATATCCACCTTCTCTCTGACCCCAGTGCCCTCACCTCTCTAGTGGGCTCTTCTGAGAATGTCCATAGGTGAAAGTGTGACTGAGCACAGAAGACAAGGGCTCACACAGCAAGGGGGCATATCTTCTGCATCCAACACCCCCCTCCCCAGCAAAAAGGAAAAGACCTAAGAAGGCAGGTGTGGAGGTGCAGCTCCCCACCTCTGACTAAAGCCACAGGTTCCCACCAGGGAGAGGAAGGGTGCAGATGCAAGGCTGTGTGGCTCCCACTGCTCCAGCCAGGGGCTCTGTGGTGTCCCTGGATGGGTGCTCCTCACCCATCCTTGCAGCTCCCATTTTCCTGGGACACTGGATGCTAGGGATGGGGGTGGGATCCTCAGGTCGACACCCAGCCCCAACCTCCACCCCTGGGGTGCATTTGTGGCAGAGCCAGGGCAGACTGTGGGGTGCTGGGGAGGTGCAAGCAGGACAGGAGAGGGGAGGCAAGAGGCTGAGTTCCTGGTCCACGGGGGTGGGGTCGAAGGGGTAGAGTGGTGGAGTCACAGGGTGCAGGGGTCACGCGAGGTGCTGGCCTGCAGGGCAGCCAATCACGTGTGCTGCTGGGAGAAGCTGTAGGCTGCGACTCTGGGTGCGCACCCTGAGTCTGAGGGCCCGGGGCCGGGACCAAGTCAGGGCCACAAGCCAGACAGAGGTGTGCCATCTCCAACAGGTGACTGCAAGAGGCTCCACCAGTCTGAGCCTGCAGCATGTTTGAAATGCAGCTCTGCTGGGAAGGGGAGGGGACGTCTGCTGGCGCGTGGTGGGGCAGCTCTCAGCCTCTGCTCCTTCTCCTCAGCCGCTGCCGCCCCCTCAGTGGCCTCGTCCCCTGTGGCAGACGCCTCTGCCTCAGCAGCTGCTGACTCTGCCTAGCTCCCCAAACCGGGACCTCAGACTCAGGGGCGCCATGGCTGCTTCAGGGGCTACGCGCGGCCATGGCCTGCCATGCAGGCTCCACATGCTCTATGCAACTGGCCAGGACCCAGGCTATGATCAGAGCAGCCGCCAGCCACTGAAGCCATTTCCACTGGTGCTTGTGCTCATGCTCACTCTTCTCCCAGCTCTCTTTCTGCCCCATACTCCTCTCCTGGGCCACCTCGCCCCTGTTGTGCACATGCCCCAGCCCCCTTGGGCCCCTGGCCATTGCTGCCACCAAAGTGTGTTCCTGGGCCCCGCCCCCTCCTCCCCTGGGCCCCGCCCCCCACCCCTGGCCACAATTGCAGCCCTGACTGGGCCCTGAGGCTTCCAGACCATGGCAATTGCAGCCTTACCTCAGCTCAGCACTACCCCCCACCCCCAGTACTTGCCCGGGGGATCAAATCTCCCCTCAGCCCCACCGCTGGAGGAGACTCTCCTCCATCCCCCTCCACTCTATACACCAAGCAGGTGCATGGTGAAACTTGTGTGTGTATGTGTGTTTGTGCTTGTGTGTGTGTGAGTGTTGGGGATAACTATCTCTCAAGGACCCAGAACATAGCACCCTTTGGGGTGAGTCAGCACACAGCACACTTCCAGAAACAGCGCAAATCACCCTTTGTAAAGGACTCAGCACACAGCTCCCTTTGAGGACTCAGCATGTAGTATGCTGGGTAGAGTACTCAGCACACAGCACCCTTTGAAGGGCTGAGTATAAAGCACCCTGTGTACATCCAGTGCATAGCACCCTTCGAAAAACTCAGCACATAGAACAATTTTGAAGGACTCAGCACATACCACACTGTGGAAGCACTCAGCACACAGCACCATTTGAAGGACAGTACAGAGCACCTTGTGTAAAGGACTCGGCACACAGCACTCAAAAAACTCACCTCATCCCTCTCTTCTCAAGGGCTCAGCACATAGCAGGACCCTTTGGGATGCAGTAGCTCACCACACTTTTTGAAGGACTCAGCATACAGTACATTGTGTAATAGACTCAGCACACAGCACCCTTTGAAAAACCCAGGACAGCCCACTCTTCTCAGGGACTCAGCATATAGAACCCTTTGGGATAACTCACCAAATCTTTCTGAGAACTCAGCACAAAACCCCCATGTGAGAAGGACCCAGCAAATAGCACCCTGTGAAGGACTCAGCACATAGCTGTATGTCACAAGTTCAGCTGTCATTAGAATTAGGGTGCTTTCTCCAGTATCACCATTCTTCAGAAACACTTCACAAATCCTACTAGTTCACAGTTAGACAACCTGTGTTTTATGGGGGAAGGTCAGCTGGGGGTCTTGAACTCAAAGCTTGGGGGCCCTGTCCCTGAGCTCTTTGGTTCAATGCTAGAGCTCTACCACTTGGAGGCACAGCTCCAATTTTGTTTTGGGGGGTTGTTCTTTGACAGGTCTTATAATGATAAGTAAGGCCAAGTTGGGGTAACTGTAGGCAAAGGCTCTTAGCTCAGCCTGGAGCTGACCTCTCCCTTTTTGTGTCCCTGGTAAGCCGGGCCTCCTGGAGCTCTCTTGGCCTAGGGTGGAACAGACCTGCTCTGGCATCAGCAATCAGGGTGAGCAAAAGTCAGCTTGGCCCTGGTCACTTCCTCAAATTGAACTCTAGAGAATGATGGCATGGGGCCACATGTTTCACATCTGGCCCCCAGGGTGCAGGAGTAGCCCACCATAGGGATAGTATTTGAGAGCTGTGTTTACTCTTGCTTCCCTGAGGCCCCCATCATGATTCAAAGCCACCCTGTCCTTGAGACTCTTACCTACAATTAACCATCGAAAAGCTAGTGGGGCTGTGGCTCAAGTGGCAGAGCACTACCCTTACCCTTGAGCAAGAAAACTCAGGGATAGAGCCTAGGCCCTGAGTTCACACACACACACACACACACACACACACACACAAACCACGTGCATGGAAAATCAGAGGTTTCTATACTACAATCTTTTCCCCACTAAGCCTGGTGGCTGCTGGCCTAGGTGTTTGATGCATACACCACCACCTACTTCCTATTTATCTGAGGAATGGTCATATGGGTTTGGGAGGGGGGAGAATCATCCTAGCTGAGAATGTGGCTCAGTGATAGAGTGGTCACCTAGCATGCCTGAAGCCCTGGGTTCTATTCCACACAGAAAAAGCTAGAAAGGGAGGTGGGGCTCAACTGGTAGAGTGCCAGTCTTGATCAAAAAGAGCTCAGGACAATGGCCAGGCCCTGAGTTCAAGCCCCAGGGCTGGAAGAACAAATCTTTGTTGAAGGCTTTTTATTTTGCTTTGAAAACAATTTATTCTTTGTGATAAGCATAACATGGGCCTCTTTCCTGGCCACCAATGGGCCATTAGATATCTCTTGAGTTTGGGTCACCTCCCTGCAGCCTCTGCCTTGCCCGACCCCCAGTTTAACCTTCCCATCACCCGGCTGATGGAGGCCTGAGAGAAACCCACCTGGCCACCTACTTCTGGTGGCTGCCAAGGCTTTTGAGAGTCAGTATGTCACATAGAGAATCATCATCTGCATCAATCTACAAGAGAAAGTGAGGGAGCACTCCTCCCCTGAGACTGGGAGCTGTGGGAGGATCTGGATGTGGGGCATCTGGGGCAGGACCTGCTCCTTGCAGGAGTCCACTATGGGGTCAGGAAGCTGACCTCTCCTCTGGCAGTTTCCATGAGCTGTGGTGGCAGCTCATGGGGCAGAGGGCCTGTGGCTCCAGCTCAGTCTCGCACTGAGCTGTTGGGTTGGCCAGGGGGTGCCTGCAGCGGGCCCACGCTCCTGTGGCAGGATTTTCCCCCTGTGGATCTCAGCCTCCGAGTGTGCTAACAGAGTCTAGTCCATCTCCCTCCCAGGCAGCATGGAATGTGGGCATGGCCACCATTCTTGTATCCCTTTGGTCAGAAAGAACCATGAAATAATGGTGTGGCCAGAATCCTGTGATGCAGGCAGAATGGGCAGAGTCAAGATGACAGTGACTCCCCCAGCCCCTTTCCCAGGGAACTCTGTCCAATTCAGTTGGGGACAAGAGGGTGATATGCTTTAGCTGGATGGCTGCACAGATTGTTGTTTATGTCTGTTTGTTGCCAGTCCCAGACCTTGAACTCAGGATCTGGGCACAGTCCATGAGCTGCTTTTGCTCAAGGCTAGCCCTCTACCACTGGAGTCATACGGCTCTACTTCTGGCTTTGTTGGCACTGAAGTTGGACAGGAGTTTCAAGGATTTTCCTGCTTAGGGTGACTTTGACCATAGCCTTGTAAGTTTCAAGGAGGACCTGCGCTGCTGCTGGCCGCCCTGCTCTGCGGCCTGGGCCCAGGAGGCTGGGGTGAGGCCTTGGTGGTTTCTAGTTCCCCCACCCTCTTTGGTGGTTTCTAGTTCTCCCCCCTTGGTGATTTCTAGTTCTCCCCTTGGTGGTTTCTAGTTCTTTCCTCTTTGGTGGCTTCTAGTTCCCCCACCTTGGTGGTTTCTAGTTCCCCCCAGTTTGGTGGTTTCTAGTTGTCCCTCTTTGGTGGTTTCTAGTCCCCCCCTTGGTGGTTTCTAGTTCCCCCTCTTTGGTGGTTTCTAGTTATCCCTCCTTGGTGGTTTCTAGTTCTCTGTCCCTGTTTGGTGGTTTCTAGTTCTCTCCCCCAGTTTAGTGGTTTCTAGTTCTCTCCCCGTGGTTGGTGGTTTCTAGTCCCCCCCCCAGTTTGGTGGTTTCTAGTTCTCTCCCCCTGGTTGGTGGTTTCTAGTTCTCTCCCCCTGGTTGGTGGTTTCTAGTTCTCTCCCCCTGGTTGGTGGTTTCTAGTTCTCTCCCCCTGGTTGGTGGTTTCTAGTTCCCCCTCCTTGGTGGTTTCTAGTTCCCCCTCCTTGGTGGTTTCTAGTTCTCCCCCCTTGGTGGTTTCTAGTTCCCCCTCCTTGGTGGTTTCTAGTTCTCCTCCAGTTTGGTGGTTTCTAGTTCTCTCCCCCTGAGTGGTTTCTAGTTTTCTCACCTTGGTGGTTTCTATTCCCCCCCCAGTTTGGTCATTTCTAGTTCTCTCCCCCTGTTTGGTGGTTTCTAGTTCTCCCCCAGTTTGGTGGTTTCTAGTTCCCCCACATTGGTGGTTTCTACTTCCCCCCCAGTTTGGTGGTTTCTAGTTCCCCCTCTTTGGTGATTTCTAGTTCTCCCCCCCCTTTTTGGTGGTTTCTAGTTCTCCCTTGTTTGGTGGTTTCTAGTTCTCTCCCAAGTTTGGTGGTTTGTAGTTCTCCCCTCTTTGGTGGTTTCTAGTGTCCCCCCCTCCTCTCCTGGTGGTTTCGGGTCCCCCCCCTAAGGGCCAGGGGCTGGGCTGGGGTTGTGGGGTGGGGAGGTGGTGGTGGATTTTCAGGTTGGGCCAGGTTGTTGGAGGCTGGGGCCTGGTCCTGTTGGCCTGTCTGTCTCTGTGTCTGTCTGTCTGTCTGTCCATCTGTCAGTCTGTCTGTTTGTGTCCCTGTCTGTCTGTCTGTCTCTGGGTCTGTCTGTCCATCTGTCCGTCAGTCAGTCAGCCTGTCTGTGTCGGTCTGTCTCTCTCTGGGTCTATCTGTCTGTCCGTCTGCATCTCAGTCTGTCTGTCTGTGTCTCTGTCCATCTGCTTCTGTCGGTCTGTCCATCTCCTCTAAGTCTGTCTGTATGTCTGTCTACTCGCAGTCTGTTTGTCTTCCTCTTGGTCTGTCTGTCCACCTGGATGTCCAATCTGCTTCTCCTGTCTGTCTGTCCATCCGGTCTTGGTCATCCATCCATCCCTTGTCTGTCTGTCTGTCTGTCCCTCAGTCTCTGCATCTGTCTGTCTCTGTCTGTCTGCAGGTCTGTCTGTGTCTGGGCCCCTGTCTGTCTGTGTGTCTGTCCGTGTGTGTGTGTCCATGTTTCTGTCTGTCCGTCTCCTCTCTGTCTGTCTCATTGTCTGTCCATCTGTCTCTGGCTCTGTCTGTCTGTCTATCTGTCCATGTGTCATCCTATCAGTCTGTCTGTCCGTCTCTGTGTCTGTCTGTCCGTCTGCCTCTCAGTCTCTCTGTCTGGGTCTGTCTGTCCTGTGTCTGTCTGTCTCCTCTCTGTCCATCTGTCTTCCTCTCTGCCTGTCTGCCTCTTGGTCTGTCTGTCCACCTGGCTGTCCATCTGCTTCTTCTGTCTGTCCATCTGTCTGTCCTGTCTTGATCATCTGTCCATCCCTTGTCTGTCTGTCTGTCCGTGTGTCATCCTCTCGGTCTGTCTGTTCATTTCTGTGTCTATCTGTCTCTCCATCCATCCGTCTGTCCCCAACACCTGTCCTCTTCCCCCTCAGGCCAGGCCGACTTTGACCTCGCTGACGCCCTGGATGACCCGGTGAGTCCTGACCTCTCACCTTTCCCCCCCATGGCTTCACCCTGGCCGCTAGGCCTCACGTGGGGCCTTGATCCAGCTGTGGGCCTGAATCCCATGTGACCCTTTGCCACCCCCTGAGGCCTTGGGGTCAGGGGTTGGGGGGTCAGGGGTCAACACCCTCTCTCTCTTCGCCCGCAGATCCCACCCCGAAGCCCATCTCGGATGAGTGGGGTCCTCCCACACACACACCAGGCCCACCCAGGGTGGGGAAACTGAGGCACGGCCCACTCCTGGCACATAGGGCTGTACCCGCAGCTGCCTGACCCGCCCAGGCCGCGACCCCCGGGTCGGGATGGAAGTGAGCGGGGTCAGGGGGGGTCAGGGGGAGTCAGGGGTCAGGGGGAGGGAGGGGATAAGGGGAGAGGGGAGGCCGGCCTCCATCCTCCCTCGCTCTCTCTCTCCCCGCAGACATCTACCTCCCGCCCTGACGCCGGCCTCCACCCCAGCCCCAACCCCCGCCAGGCGCAGGAGGTGAGGACATGGAAGGGGGAAGGCCCGGATGTGGAGGCTGGGGATGGAGAGGCCCGGATGGAGAGGCCTGGATGTAGGGAACCCAGTGTGGAGGCTCGGATTTATGGACCCGGATGTAGGGACCCAGACATGGGAACCTGGATGTAGGGACCCGGATGTGGAAGCCTGGATGTAGAGACCCAGATGTGGAGACCCCAGTGTGGAGACCCGGATGTAGAGACCAGGATGTAGGGACCCAGACATGGGATCATGGATGTAGGGACCTGGATGTGGGTAGCCCGATGTAAGGACCCGGATGTAAGGACCCGGATGTGGAGGCCGAGCTCCCAGGGCCGTGTCTCTCCTCCCCCTCCACACCAGGTGCTGGCGATGAACACATGATCCACGGAGACCCTCCAGGGAAAGTCCCGCCCCCTCGGCCACCCCACTTCCGGTCCCCTCGTGATCTGGGCCCAGGCGTGTATTGGGACTTCCGGTCGGCATGAGAACTTCCACTCCTGACAGTATGTGAACTTCTGGTCCAGAGTATCGGAACTTCCAGTCCTGATTGGGAACTTCCGGTCCCTAGTATATAACAACTTCTGGTCCCGACTGGGTATTTCTGGTCCCTAGTGTATAGGAACTTAATGTACTGATTGGAAGGGCATTTCTGGTCCCTATTATATAGGAATTTCCGGTCCCTAGTATATAGGAACTTCCGGTCCTGACTATTGGCACTTCTGGTCCCTAGTGTATATGAACTTCCGGTCCTGACTATGGGGACTTCCGGTCCCTAGTGTGTAAGAACTTCCGGTCTTCACTGTGGAGACTTCCGGTCCCTAGTATATAACAACTTCTGGTCTTGACTATGGGGACTTCCGGTCCAAGTGTACAGGAACTTCTGGTCCTGATTGGAAGGGCACTTCCGGTCCCTAGTGTAGAGGAACTGCCGGTATCTAGTGTATAAGAACTTCTGGTATTGACTTTGGGGACTTCCGGTCCCTAGTATATAGGAACTTCTGGTCCTGACTGGGGACTTCCGGTCCCTAGTATATAGAAACTTCCGGTCCTGATTGGAAGGGCATTTCCGGTCCCTAGTGTGTAGGAACTTCTGGTCTTGACTGTGGAGACTTCCGGTCCCTAGTATATAACAACTTCTGGTCTTGACTATGGGCACTTCCTGTCCCTGTTCATGGACACTTCCTGTCACGGCTGTGATAGCACTTCCGGTCAGGCACCCTTGTCCCACCCCCTTCACCTTGGCTCGCTTCCTGTTTCGGGACACTTCCCGACCGGAAGCTGCAGGGAAACGCCCCACCCCCCTTCCTGGGTTTGTTCTCCCCCCCATTTCCAGTTCTGGTTCCGCCCCCTCCAGGCAGTGCGCTGGCCCGCGTCGTGTCCCCTGTAGTGTCCGTGGTGGTCGTGGCCCTGGTGGGCGCCGCCATCACCTACTTCTAGTCTGGAGGTCGCAGACGCTGCTTCTGGGGCGTGGGCCGGGATGCAGGTGGGAACCGCCCCCTCCCAGGGTGCCCTGATGAGGGGGGGAGCGGGGCGAAGCCTCCCATGATCCCCCGTGGGCGCTGTAGCCTGTGTCTCCCCTCACCCCAGGCCCCGCCCCAGTGTGAGGCTGGATTCGAACCCTGGGCCTCCAGCAGCAGGCAGAAGCGGAAGCGTAAGAAGGAGCCTGGTGGGGAGGGACGAATAAAATCAATGTAAAGTACACATGCCTGCTGTCAGACCTGTCTGCCTCGCCCATCTTTCCATGGAGCATGTGCAGGCTCCGCCTCTTTGGAACCACTGACTGCACATGCACGTTGCGCGCCCAGGCAGCGTTTTCCTTCCCCTCTGGTGCCTGCTCAGTGTGGAGACAGGCGCAGGGCGGGACAGGATGGTGATGGACAGCTAGAGTGTCCAGTCAGTCACTTGTGGGCGGGGCTTCGGCTTGACAGGACCTAAGACGGAGTAGGAGGCGGGGCCTGGAGGTAAATGACAGCCTGTGTGGCCATCCAATTGCAAGGGGCGTGGCCTGAAGTCGACAGGACACTTGATAATACAAGGGGGCGTGGCCTGAAGGTGACAGACAGGACAAATGTCCACACAAGAGCCATTGGGCGGAGCCTGGAGGTGACAGACAGCCTCTATGGCCTTCCAACAGCCAGAGGGCGGGACCTGGAAGAGACAGACAGCCCCTGTGGCCTTCCCACAGCCAGGAGGTGGGACCTGGAAGTGAAGGACAGCCCCTGAGCCCATACATTCACTAGTGGGCGGGACCTCTGGGTGATGGGCACCCACAGCGTTCATAGAGCTAGCCACGAAGAGGCGTGGCTTCACACATATCGACTCTCCACCTATTGGCTTGGCAGGGGGCGGGGCCTAGGGATGATGGACAGCATGCCCTGCCTTTCAATATCACCCAAGGAAGAGGCGGGACTGGACCCCCAGCTTCCCTGGGCGGGGCCAAAGGATGGAGAGTCAGGCGTGTCAGCCAATCAGAGCAGAGGGCGTGGCTGGAGGAGTCCCCGGGGAAGCCAATGGGACCCTCCCTCCAGAGAAGACCCAGATGTCGTGCAGGTGCAATGCAACCTAGGCCTAGAGAGACACAGACCTCCGACCTCGACTTATCCTACCGCGATAAGGAGCTATAGGCCCATCTGGGTCAATCCCTGGAGAGGTCATTGGGGTCCCCTGGGACAGGCACAGAAGGGGAAGAGGTCGCAGGCCTGGTCATCCACCCAACCCCCCCTCCCTTATAGTGGTCCAACATCCGGGTATCCCACGTCTCCAATCCCGCTGGGCCAATCTGAATCCAAGTTCTGGTAGTTAGGGGCATGACTGTCGTGTGAGGTCCAATCAGCAGCGAGTTGGATTTGGGGGGGGGCTAAGGGGCGTGTCTTACAGCTGGACCAATGACAAGTGAATTAGGAAAGTGAGGGTGGGGCTTTCATGGAATAGGCCAATCAGGTGTGAATGTAGGTGGTGGGACATCCTGGAGGAGGGCGAGACCAAGCCTGTATCCTAGCAACCCCCCGGAAATGGTCTGAAATGGAAGGCGGGACTAGTCCAATACCCTAGCAACCACCGGAAAGGGCCTGAAATGGAAGGCGGGACTAGTCCAATACCCTAGCAACCACCGGAAACGACCTGAAATGGAAGGTGGGACCAGCCCTGTATTCTAGCAACGACCGGAAATGGTCTGAAATGGAAGGTGGGACCAGTCCTATACCCTAGCAATGACCAGAAGTGGCCTGAAATGGAAAGTGGGACTAGTCCTATACCTTAGCAATGACCGGAAATGACCTGAAATGGAAGGTGGGAGTAGTCCTATACCCTAGCAACGACCAGAAGTGAAGTGACCTGAAATGGAAGGCGGGACCAGCCCTGTATCCTAGCATCAACCGGAAATGACCTAAAATGGAAGGCAGGACCAGTGCCCGGCCTCTGACCCTGGTGACCCCTGACCCTGCCGTGCAGTGCGGTGCTCACGAGGTTTTATTGTGTGAGAAGTTAGAGGACATAGGCCCGGATGTGAGAGGGCCCCGGATGGGAGGCTGGGGAAAGGCCCGGGATGGGAGGCCCAAGGTGGAGGTCCAGGATGAGAGGCTCAGGATGTGAGAGTCCCCAGATGTGGGAATCCCTGGGTCTGAGAATCCCCAGATGTGAGACTCTCTGAATGTGAAAATCCCTGGATGTAAGAGTTCCCCAGATGTGAGAATCCCAGCATGTGAGAGTCTCTGGATGTAAAAGTCCCTGGATGTGACAATCCCCGGATGTAGGAATCTCTAGATGTGGGAATCCCCAGATGTGAGAATCCCTGGATGCGAGAATCCCCGGATGTGGGAATCTCTGGATGTGAGAATCTCTCGATGTGAGAATTTCCGGATGTGAGAATCCCCGGATGTGAGTCTCTGGATGTGAGATTTCCCCAGATGTGGGAATTCCCTGGTCTGAGAATCCCCGGATGTGGGAATCCCCGGATATGAGAATCTCCAGATGTGGGAATCTCTGGATGTGAGAATCTCTGGATGTGAGAATCTCTGGATGTGAGAGTCTGTATGTAGGAATCCCCGGATGTGAGAGTCTCTGGATATGAGAATCCCCGGATGTAAAAGTCCCCGGATGTGAGAGTCTCTGGTTGTGAGAATCCCCGGGTGTAAAAGTCCCCGGATGTGGGATTTCCCGGATGTGTAAATACATCCCCGGGAATCCCCGGATGTGTCACCAGAAGTGAGAATCCCTGGATGTGAGAATCCCCGGATGTAGAAATCCCCGGATGTGAGAGTCAGTATGTGGGAATCCCTGGATGTGGAAATCTCTGTATTTGAGTATACCCGGATGTTTAATACCCGGATGTGAGTCCCCGGATGTGAGAGGCGCAGGCCACAATCTGCCGTAGCCCCGGGCAGATGGGGGTTGGGGGTCGGGTCGGGGTCAGAGGTCGGGGATCAGGCGGTCGCAGGCGCAGAGCAGTCCGGGCACGCAGCAGGGCTGCAGGCGCGGGCTCCAGGTGTTGTGTGCAGGGGCCAGGGGCGGGGCCGCGCGGGGGCGGCGCGTGCGCAGCATCCGGGCCACCGCGGCCTCCACGCGCCTGCGCGTCGCCATCGGGCCCTGCAGCGGGCGGGTCTCCCCCGGGTCCGCCATCAGGTCAAAGAGCAGTGGCCGCCGGTGGCGGGTCATTCGCCGCCCCGAGCAGGCGCAGGCAGGGAAACCGAGGCAGGCGCCCGAGCCCGGCGGGTCGAAGCGCGGAGTGGCGAAGTGCAGCTTCCACACCGTGCGGCCTGCGGGGGGTGGGAGGAGAAAGGAGTAACATCCGGGACCTCACATCCGGGGATTCCCATCCGGGAATTCACATCCAGGACATCACATCCAGGGATTCACATCCGGGCATTCACATGCAAGACCTTACGTCCGGGGATTCCCATCCAGGACCTCACATCTGGGTATTCACATCCGGGGATTCCCATCCGAGGCCTCACATCTGGGATCTCACATCCGTGGCCTCACATCCAGGAATTCTCATCCAGTACCTCACATCTGAAGCCTCACATCCGGGAATTCCCATCGGGGACTTCACATCCGGGACCTTACATCCGGGGATTCCCATCTCATGCCTTCCATCCAGGTCCTCACATCCCGGGATTCCCACATCCGGGGATTCCCACATCCGGGTCTCCCACCCCCAGGCCTTGCATCACACGCACACGCATGCAGCCCCCTCCCCCGCCCAGGGACCCGGCGGCGGTCGAGGCACTCACTTGGGCGGTCGAACCAGCGCACGGCGTGCAGCCGGGCCTCGCAGTAGTGCAGCAGGAAGTCGTGGCCTGCGGCCTGCGCCGTCCCCAGCAGCGCGGGCATCAGGTCCCGGCCGTCCACCTCCCTGCGGGACCCGGATGTGCAGGCTTCTGAGCGCTCAGAGACACGGATGTGCAGGCCAGAGATCCCAGAGACCTGGATGTCAAGGCTTGAGCCTTTAGAGACCCGGATGTGCAGACTTCTGAGCCCTCAGAGACCCGGATGTGCAGGCTTCTGAGCCCTCAGAGACCCAGATGTGCAGGCCTGAGACCTGGGCCTAGGTACTCAGAGACCTGGATGTGCAGCCCTGATGCCTTAGAGACTCGGATATGAAGGCCTGAGTCCTCAGAGATCCAGATGTTCAGGCTTCTGAGTGCTCAGAGGCCCGGATTTGCAGGCCTGAGCTCTTAGTTACCCGGATGTAAAGGCTTCTGAGCCCCCAGAGACCTGGATGTCAAGGCCTGAGCCCCGGGTCTTGGGTCTTAGAGACCCGGATGTGCAGGCTCCTGAGCCCCCACAGACCCGGATGTGCAGGCCTCAGCCTCCCCCCCCTCGGGATCCCCGAGGCCCCGGATGATCCCCCTTCCCCCCCACCCCGTGGGGACCCAGGCCGGCGAACTCCTACCTGTCCGCTGGAACCCAACCCCCGGCCAGGTGCACCACGGTGGGGAACAGGTCCATAAGGCTGGTGGGCTCAGGCACCAGGCGCCCTGCGGGCAGCGTCCCGGGCCAGCGCACCAGTCCAGGGACCCGGATGCCGCCCTCCCAGCCGCCCATGCCTTTGCCACCTGCAGGGGGGGGGTGAAGGGCAAAGGTCAAGGGGCGGGGTCGGGCCGCGTGGGAGGCCCCGCCCACCCTGCCTCAGTTTCCCCCTCGCCTCGGTGCACGCCGTTGGAACCCCCGAGGCGGGCACCCCCAGCCCGGGCCTCCAGCGAGGCACCGTGGTCCGATGTGAAGTAGACGAGGGTGCGGCGCCCCAGCCCCGCGCCGTCCAGCGCCGCCAGCAGTCGCCCTGCGGGGGGGCGGGGGAAATGGGTCCGTGCCTCAGTTTACCCCCAGCGTCCACTGTGCCTCCGTTTACCCCCAACATGCACCGTGCCTCAGTTTACCCAACATGCATCGTGACTCAGTTTACAAATTTCCATAGTGCTTCAGTTTATCCCCAATGC